GCGTCTGTATGCCTTGGTGGCGGATGGGAGGATCTGGTGTATGGCTGATGTCGATCTCTGTTGGAGCGAGGGAGTTGTTCTCGTCGTCCTTCGTTCCGTCGATCTGTCCTCGTTTGCGAATGTATCGCTGTTAGCCGTTGGGTCGGCCCATTAAGATCATCCTCGTCCGCTCGTACCTCAGCGCAATAGGCGTTGTGGATTTCCTACCATGTGGTAGGGGGATATTTCATGAGGCGGCTCAACAACTTCTTGGTTGCCCTTGAACCATCCCTGCTTAGCCCGTTCTGGAAAGCGGCGACTGCCATACCTTCCGATACGTTTGGTAGACTCATCCTTACTCTGTTAAACCTTGCTAGGAAGTCCCTGAGTCCCTCTCCTGTAGTTTGCCTGATGGCGAAGATGTCGTTGACCCTGGCCTCCGCTTTCTTCGCGCCTGCATGGGCTGTGACGAACTTATCCGCCATTTCCTCGAACGTTGATATTGCCTTAGCTGGTAGCTGAGAGTACCAGGTTAAAGCCCCTCCTGTCAACGTCTCGCCAAACTTCTTCAGCAATACCGACGGTACCTGTTCCTTTGATAGGTCGTTGCCCTTCACAGCGGTGACGTAGTGGATCAGATGATCCTCGGGATCAGTGGTTCCGTCATATACCCTCAAGTAGGGTGGCATCTTGAAGGTTTTTGGGGTGGAGTGAGGGGCAGCTTCTTCAGTGTATGGTTGTTCAACGAACCTTCCCACGTCGCGTTTTGGTAGCAACTTGGGGGCACCGGGGATCTTGTCGACCCTCTCCTGATGTTCCTTCATCTGATCGCGGAGCGCCTTGTTTTCATTTTCCATTTCTTCCATCTTCTTTAGGATGGCTGTTAGCGTTCCATCGTTGGTCTGTGTCTCGACGGGTTCGTTATTTGCTAGTGCAACTTCCGGTTCGCCCGCGGCAGCAGTGGTATCTACCGTTGGTGTACACCTGATGTTACTTTGTGGTGACCTCTCAACCAAGCCACTCAGAAGTTCTTGTTAGCCATCTTTCCAGTAGCTTCTTGACCGCTGAGGGTGCTTCCGTAGCCGCAGATGTGGAAGCTCCCTTTTCGTGCAAGATCGTCAGATCTTCGGATGGGGAAGGTAAGATTCCGCACCCGATGTGATACTAGGGGTTGCATTCAGGATGCCATCGTCACTGGCCTCGTTGAGAGGGCCAAGGAGATTGGTAGTGACACCCAATATAGCTTTTGATCTTGGATTATTCTCAGCCATCTTTTGTGTTTGTGTGGTTCAGAGAATGGTAGTTGGTTGTTCTCTAGGTGGATACTATGATTTTGATTCTCGAAATCCCCACAGACGGCGCCAAATTGTTTGGCTCAAAAGTTAGCAATATACTTTGTAAGCTAGAAAACAATCGAAAGTAAGAAAAGGATAAATCGTAAATAAATATAATAAACCTAGAGATGCAAAGATGATATTATTGTTGTAGATCTGGTATTGCAAAGTGATAATATGAACTTAACAAGATATGTTTGTTTGAGGTAGAGATAGAGAGAGAAAGACAGAAAATGAGAGAGTTGTATTAGATCCGAATCCTCCTTTTACAATGTGAAGGTCTCCTTTATATAATAAGAGACCTTCCTCGAAAAAATCAAAAAGTTACAAAGACAGGTAGCGTCTCCCTGGTGAAGACATTGAGTCCTAAACGATGTCGCTTTTGTCCCCGCGTCCGAGTCGTACCCGCTACGTTAGTCGGCGTACACTCACTGGGCGTACCCTCTGGCGTAAGGATGCTGACGATCAAATTTGACCCCATACATAATTAATTAGTCAAATTAACACTCTAAGACATATTGTAATGTAATGTTTGTTTAAACTATATAGGATTTGAAACAACAAAAGTGTATAGACGCAAAGAGATGCTTGAGCCATACACCAAAGGTAGCAACAGTACTCAGAGGAACAAGTGCAAGCATATACTTAGACAATGCAGCTTACAGGAGCTTCATCTACAACAAATTTGATGTGAGCCCCGTGGAAATGGAAAGTGCAGCAGTGGCTCTCATTTGCTACCAGCAGAAGACACCTTACATCGTTATCCGTGCCCCCTCCGACTTGGCCGGCGGCGGTGACGCCGACAACGAGGCCGCCACCTTCATCAACCTTGCTGCTAACAACTCTGTTGAGGTTGTCGTGCAATTCATCAAGCAGTAGCCTTTGACCAAATATCAAGATGCTTGATTTTGGAATTAATTATTCCTCAGTTAATAATTCTTCTTCATCGTCAGATGAGGAGTAGTTTGATGGAAGCTACGTTTAATTTTTCTTAAGTGAACTTTAATGTGTGTACTAGTACGTTACATTCCCTAATAATGGAACTTTGTTCATGACCGTGTGCATTGTGCTTAAACCCAAAAGCCGTCGTTTGGTTGGTAGAATAAAGGTTAACAATTTCGGGATAAAATGCAGATCATTTTATCCCGCATTAAATCATTAATCAGTCTCGAGAACCATTTTATACCAAAATGTTAATTAATTATCCCGTATAGAAAGTGGCGAAGCCAGAAATATTTTTAAGGGTGTTCAAACTTGAAAGAAGTAGAAAAAAAATTCCGACAAAGGGTGTTCAATATAGGTTTTATATATCTAAAATTAATATTTTACTTATATACCAGTGCAATATTTTGGAATATTTCGGCGAAGAGTGGTTTGCTAAAGGTGGCTTCGCCCATGCGTATAGAAGGTGGATAGCTAATCACATGAAATATCCAACCCGTGAAATATCCGTCTATCCATCGATCCCGGTAACCAAAGCGACCCCTTCCAACTTAGTTATTCTATTTTTTCAGCTACATACTTCGTTTCGATGCCGATAATTATCATCTCGAGAGATCAAAACCAGATCTAAGTGGGAGCAATTCAATTCACGTTTTTGTTTTCCACGTTATTTTTCTTTTATTTTACTATTTTTTGTTGTCTTTTTCAATTATTTTCCACCATCGCGCGTCTTCCCAAATTAAATTACTACCAAACCACCAAAGGCTCATCAGCTTTTTGTTCGAGAAAACACCACTTCTAACAACAAAGACCAGCCTCCCAACTCCGGCGAGTTGTCCACTGGAAAATGGCATCTCCGGCAAGATTTGAGCAAAACCAACCGATAGATTATCTTCTCCAATCTTTCAAAAACCTCAACCACAAAAAATTTCCTAAGCACTTGTATGCCTTGAGAATCTTCGAGAAATTTGTCAAATGTTGCCAACCACTGTCTGGACAAATGTTTTGTGGGATCATATTCGATAAGCATCGTTGAATCATACAGCTGTTAGACACTTTTGTGATAAACATAGTACACATGACTCTACTGTCTACCGATAAGAACAGACACTGCAATGATTGACGGGTGATCTGTATGTATTATCCCTCCCTATATTTAACTTATTACTACGTGATAATCAAACTATTATCAAGAAATTTGTTGTGACAATCAAGAAGCCCTTTTACGTTTTGTTCATTACCATCCTTCTTTTGTTAATCTTTTCCTATCAATGATCGGAATGGGACTCTTTTTTAATTAAGTCTTAGCTCCCGTTTGGTCATAAATTTTGACTTATTCTTTTTGAAAACAGTGTCTGTTTATAGAATATGATGAAAAAAGTTAAATTCTTTTTCAAATTTCCAAAAACTGGTTTTGGGCATTTTTTGGATTTTTTTCACTTACAAAATTTTAAAAAAATTTTTCAAATAAAATGCATGTTGTATGGGTCAAAATTAGATCAGAGAAATGTGTCACGAGGTCGTGGTCGTGGACGTGGTCGGACATGCCAAGGTCGGACCGTCATCAATGGTCGTGATCGGACATGCCAAGGTCGGACCGTCATCAATGGACGTGGTCGGACATGCCAAGGTCGGACCGTCATCAATGGTCGTGGTCGGATATGCCAAGGTCGGACCGCCATCAAACATCTAGTTTGCTTTGGAAAACTCAAAAGGAATATTCTACCGAATATTCCCTGTAAATTGTACCTTTTTTTTAGGATTTTCTATGAATATCCCCCCTTATAAATAGGAGGAGAGGACTTCCCAAGAGGGGGGCTCTATCTCTCCCTCTCCCTCTTTCTAGAAAATATGTAAACACACCTCTCCGAAGAAATGAAGGGATATGTGATCCAATACCTTCATCAGATCCAAAAAGGGTCATGAGGTTCTTGTATTTGTCTATCATTCATCTTTATGAAAAGAAAGAAGATCCGTCTCACCAAAGATCGGGTGAACCATTTCCTTTATTCATATTTTTGTTATTTAATGCATCTTTCTTTATGCCATTAAATCTGGTCATAATCGCCATCAACATTTATATTCGACTATGTCTTTTAATTTGTATTATTCATCTCGGATCTAGAGTTAATTATTCTTAACTAGGATTTACCCGTTCATTTCTTTTGATTGATTTGCTTAAAAAGTGTTTAACAACTTTTGAGTCAAACAATTTGGCGCCGTCTGTGGGAATTTTCTAGTTAAAATTTTAGTTTCCTCTAGATCGAGAATTACATAATTCTTTTGGTCAAAAAGTCTCGGGTTACGGTCTTAAAATGAGACTTGCAGGAGTCTTTCGGTAAAAACCTCTCTTAAAAGAGAATAATGACTCACTATTGACCAATGGAATGATTTTATTTCTTATCAACTATGTTCCTCTACTGCTTGCTGATATTGAATTAAGAATTAGGTAAAACCTACAATCTACTACCGTAAGTTGCTCGTTCAAATAGGCGGCACTAGTTGTTATGAGTTGTATTAAAGGAGCTTCTAGTCAATAATGAGGCAGCTACAAATATGGATTGTACAACTATTTATACCTATCTTTTAATTTGATCCAGAATAACAAACACAACCAAACACTCACATTTATAAATACTATACTACTACGACTAAGAGAGCATAGTACGACTGATTGGCTCTTCCAATCCCACGGGAAAGATACAAAGTTTAGTGACGACTGATCACACACCATCCAAACTCCTTGGCTCCAATTTTCTACAAGCCGAAAGAAGCCAAAATGTTACTGCTACGTAATTCATCTGATTGTTATCATAATCACCTACTACAAATAACCCCTTTCTCTACATATGCTTTCAGCAAAATCTAATGCATACTACTTGGTGAAGCAAAATTGAACTTGGATAGGCTGTTTGGTACTCACTTACAACAAGGAAAAAGACATTAATATTGTCCCCAACAACCATTGCAGCTTTGGTTGGCAATTGAAATTTGAAAAGCTCGTTTCAATTTTTAGCTGCAGCAGCTGGTGTTACTGGAGAAATGCTTGGTTCAGGCAACGCACATATCCCGAACAATAATTTCTGGAACTATCAACATATCTTCAAAGCCTCTACAACAACAAATCTAAATTGTAGACATAAAGCGGACAACCACGCCAAATTGGTAGCGGCACTGAAAGCATAGCCGGAGAAAGGAACGTGATCAAACTGAGGTAACAAATGCTTTTATTTTGTTTTAACTAACTATTTCTCTAAATGGAATAGAAGCAGGAGCATTCTCCGAGATACACGAACAGGAAATACATCATATTCTCCAATACAAACAAAATTAAGCAAACTGGAACTTCTCCAGGAAATACATCATATTCTCCAATACAAACAAAATTAAGCAAACTGGGACTCCCCCAGGAAATACATCATATTCTCCAATACAAACAAAATTAAGCGAACTGAGTTAAAGGCTAAGTGCCTTCGCCGTCAAAGTATAACAAAGTTCGACCTCGCTTGAGTTACAGGCTAAGTGCCTTCGCCGTCAAAATTTGATAAGTTCGATCTCGTTCGAACCGGGACTCAGGCTAAGTGCCTTCGCCATCAAAGTGTAACAAAGTTCGACCTCGCTCGAACTAAGTTAAAGGCTATGTGCCTTTGCCATCAAAGTATAACAAAGTTCGACCTCGCTTGAGTTACAGGCTAAGTGCCTTCGCCGTCAAAATTTGATAAGTTCGACCTCGTTCGAATCGGGACTTAGGCTAAGTACCTTCGCCATCAAAGTGTAACAAAGTTCGACCTCGCTCGAACTGAGTTAAAGGCTAAGTGCCTTCGCCATCAAAGTATAACAAAGTTCAACCTCGCTCGGACTGAGTTAAAGGCTAAGTGCCTTCGCCACTAAAATTTGATAAGTTTGACCTCGATCGAACGACGACGGGTTAACATTTCGATAAGTCGAAATAACACCCTTTAAGGCCAAGGGCCTTCGCCAAAAAAGAAGAGTTTGACATCGATCGAACAACGACGGGTTAACATTTCGATAAGTCGAAATAACACCCTTTAAGGTCAAGGGCCTTCGCCAAAAAAGAAGAGTTCGACATCGATCGAACGACGACGGGTTAACATTTCGATAAGCCGAAATAACACCCTTTAAGGCCAAGGGCCTTCGCCAAAAAAGAAGAATTCGACATCGATCGAACAACAACGGGTCACATTTCAGCCTTAGCTCGAAATAACACCCCTACGGCCAAGGGCCATTACTAAAAGGAAGGATTCGACCTCGCTCGAATTACAACGGATTAACACTTCGGCCTTTGCCCGAAATAACACCCCTACGGCCAAAGGCCATCGCCAAAAGTAATAACTCTACTACACTCGAATTTGACTCTCGTTCGACATAGCTCGAACTTGATTCACAACTAGGCCTCGCTCGAACTGAATAGGGCAACGTGAAAATGAAACAATAATCACTGCTAGCATCCGGATTATATTGGGAATACAAGAAAATGAGAGTAAGAAAAGTTCTGGTCTCACCTACAATTTAAGTCCATGACCCAACTCACCTACATAAATTTAGTGGTCACACTGTTTTCGACAACATTCCTCCTGACAGCAACGACTTTTACCCTTCAAATTTAAATACCTTCTTTCTACGCTGCTATGGGGTCTCGACGACCAGTGGCAGATCTTGTTAAGGATTTGTCTGCAGCAGATAAAGGCAAGAGAATTGCTGTCATTTATGACATTCTCGTGTCTTTGGTAGTTCAAGATGTTATTACCATACCAAAAAATCGAAATGAACTTTTTTCACGATGATCCTGCTCTGGACGTATATTCTAGAATCTTGGAAGCAAAACTAAATACTGATCCGGTCACGCGGCCAACTGATATTGTAGAAATAATTGCAATAACTTGCATCCATGGAACCTGGATCAGATTCACCACCAC